ACCCTCCCTAGACTCTGAAAATGGCAGGAGCAGCATATTTGTTTGGTCATCCTTTTTGTCAAAATGCTTCTAGACATCAGTTATCCTCCAAGAGAAAAGTTTTTCGATTACATCCTTCAGAACAGGAACCATCAATTTGTTTGTGCTTTCCAAAAAAATCCTCCTATTCCTTTTTTTTCCCCAGTTCGTCTTCTAAGTAACCAACCTAGCCATGTCTCCAAGTTATCCTGATTCCCCTCCATGCAGTTCACTCCAATTTGCATTTTGTTGGATGTCAATTAACATGCAAATGAGCTTGAATAATTCTTGAAACCTTTTCTTGCTAACTCCCAGGACCATTAATTGGCTAATGTGAACATCCCAAAAGATACAGAATGCATTTCCACCTTTTTGTATGAGAAGTTTTCTTAAGTTCTTGAGAAGCTCCAAGGAGATTTTGAGATAGGATGGAGTGCATCTCCCAACTCAAGCAACTTATAATAAAAACATAGAACTGTCCTGCAGTCCATATCTGGTTGGCCTTGTTTTCATCAACTCAAAAAGAAACTTAAGTCAGTAGTTGGTTTGATCAATTACATTGTTGAACATATTGTGACACAGAGACCAAAATATGTGTACATTATTTCATGGTAAAGGGAGGCCTCTTCAAATACTGTTGCCATGGAGATTATAGTATTTATGTTAAGGAGAGGCCTCCTTCTCATCTTTGTCTTTTTGATGCACATTGTTTAAAGGTCTTAAGAGTTAATAATGATCCTTTTGAGTACAGTGTTTTTCCATTCTCTCCTGTCATTTAGTCTTGCATTGCTACTTAACATGTGCTTTGCAATTTGCTGGTCTTTGATGTGTTATTTTTATGTATCACAACTTCATATTCGTGGTTGAGTCCTTATATCAAGTGACAAATCTTCAGGGGGTAGTTGCTGGTCTTCTTGTTCAGAATGCTCTTAAGTACTTATTGAAGTTTGGGCATGTTTCTCCTTATTTGGTAAGTTTCTTTTGCTGTAAAACATTCAGATAAAAATTTTCTTCCCCTCTTGGAACATGTAATTTTATGTTAGCACTAGATATATGGACTTAAATCTCTTGGTCTAGCACTCATATGGTGCATAACCTCGTTCTCTTCACACTATCTGCAGTAGTTGGTTGTAATTTCATCATCAATCAGCAGATGACTTTTATAATAATTTTCATGATATCAGCCATTTCTTTTACCTGACTGCTTCTTTTCTTATTATGTTTATATCTTTCCTTATGAAGGGATATAATTCACTTAAAGATTTTTTTCCAACCATGGAAATGAGGCCAAATCCACAGTGCTCAAACAATGCCTGCATTGAACGACAGGTTAGTTCTTTTAAGGTTCTAGCACATTTTAATTTAGAGAACATATTTTATCTGATAGATTATGCATCTTGAATCATTGCTGAAGAAACATACAATGTACAGAAGGAGTACCTCCAGACAAAACCTGCTAGAGATGCTGCAGCTAAGGCAAAGCTGGAAGCCGAATCTTCCAAAAACGAAGGCCCACTTCACATGGATAACGAGTGGAATATAAGGTGCCTAAATTTCAAATTAAGACTAGCTTATTGATTTAATTGTATTATCCAGATTGATTACGATGTTGGAATGAGATAACGGAAGTTTTTCATTTTTCTACATATAATTAGCATAATGACCTGATGCACATGAAATGACAAACACATTCATCAAGCTGTCCACCATATTCATTTAGATTAGGCAGCTAGATATTTAGATGTTGTTTGATCACCCGGGTGGCAATTAATTCACTTGTTTTAGTGGGATTTTGAAACATTATGAAGGGTCACCATCTGATAATTAGTTGACGGGCTTAAATATGTGTCCCCATTACCATCTAATTTATGAAATATCTGTACTTCTCTCCCTAGTCCTATTAGCACCTCAACTTCCAGTGACAGTGACAGGATGACCTAAAATAGGTGGCCCAATAAAGTGCAGATTTTTTTCTTTATTTTTGTTTTTCTTCAGCACATTTTATGTTTCATTCACTCATGATTATGAAGGCAGTAATTGCTGCTAAAGACTAGGATATCTTTCTTTAGCATTGAACACAGTTGTTGTTGCAGCGATATCGTTGGCATTGCTTGAGGTGGTTAAATGACCTTAATCACTAGGTGGCTGTCTAGATTATCGCCCAATGCCTATATGAATCTAGGTCATGTGTTTGACACCTGCAGCTTTCTACGACATATGTTCTACTTAACTTTTAGCTCCAAAATCAATAAAGCCTAGATCCCAGAGGAAGTTTGATGACCGACCTAGTAGATGAGAAGGTTAATTTTATGCGATAGTCATTGCTGAAAGGATGCTAAAGAAAATAGCATTATATAGCTCTTACTGTTACTCAAAAAATGCTGCTAGAGTTGATGAGAATTTTTTTTGGTGTCATCATGTTGTGCAATTCTGGTAAAGGCACACAATTTAGATAACAGTATCTTCTGCTCTAGTAGTTTGCATGTGTATAGAGCTAGTTAAACTGGTTGATCTTAATTAATGGGTTACACATTTTAAAATCTACATGCTGGACAACATATGGTGAAATGTTGTGTTTTGTGTGTTATTTCTTTTAATACTTCAAGCTACTTTTCTGTCTTGGTGAGTCACTTGGAACAATTATAGACTTGTAATGTTATCCTCCATAGAGCTTTATGTTGGAATAATATCCATTAAGTGAACTTTGAAATGTTGGAACTTATGACTTGTTTTGTTTTGTTGGATCTTTTCGTCATACTAGTTTCTTCAGTATGAGCTTTCATATTGATATAATTCTATGAACATGTTTTTAGAGTTACTTTTTGTTTGTACAGTGTTGTTGATGATAGCGAGATGGATACCCTAAATAGTTGTGGTGTTTCAGGTTATCTTCTCCCACCAAATCTGTGTTCCTTTAATATTTCACTTTGCTTAGTGTTTTTTCCTCATTCCTGTCCCTCATAAATGGTGCACAGGTGCTCTACCGGAGGGCCTCATCCATGAGCTCCCTACTGCTGAAAAGTATCATGAATCACTAGGCACAGAAGAAGCAAAAACAGTTGAGGATGATCTCGAGGAACTCCAGCGACAGCTTGATGCCCTTAACGCATCTTAACTTTTTCCAGAAACCAACAAGATCCTCATTCTTCTTTTATAGGTTTTTTTTTCCCCCTCTAGAGGTAATGAGATTTTACTTGATGTCAGTTACTTTGGTCCAGTTACCTTGGAAAAATAGAGAGAGACTAGATTTCATCTAACTACTCAGCAGCTTCATTATTGAAGCACTTACTAGGGCTGTATCTGATCATTGTTGTGCTTAAAATTATTTGCTTGGGGACCTGCAAGAACGTCAAAAGACTTTGGAGAAGGTAGATCTGTCCATTTATCAACAAATTTCATGGACATGCTCTTCTCCATGTTTCTGTTTGAACTACTAGAAGTATAGCAGATGCTAGTCTTTTCAAGTTGCTAACTCTCCAACAGTCTACTGGATCTTTTTTCTTTGGATTTAGTAAAATTGGTGCAGTTACATGGAATTTATATGTATTGCCATTTTCTTAGTCCCTCTGCATAAACAGGGAGAAAACTAGCAACAGTCAATCTTGAGTTCTCTAAGCTTCATGACTGACTCAAGTTCAAGAGAGAATTCAGAACACCAATCTCATCTGTAAGGCTGACCTCCATGAAGGGTAAGTTTCTGCCAATCAGAACTTTAGTCATGTATGATGAAGCTAAGTCACTCAATAATCTGTCTCTAAGTGGCTAAATGTCAAATTGATATTTTTGTAGTTAAGAGTGAAAACACTGGCAAATTTAAAATAGAAAAAAGAAGAGTATATCTACTGCTGGATCTGTTCTTTATTGCTTATGGTTGATGGACACATTATCTCTCTTAACAGTTATAATATTTTCTTTCCTCCTAATATTTAAGTTTCTAATGGTAGACAACATCTTTGTTTCTGTTGGGCAATCATAGTTCAGTGAGTGGAAAATGGAAGTCGCAAGTCTTTTCCATTTGCTCAAACACATTTAAGCTCTTGATTTGATCCAAACACATTTAAGTACTTCGAGGGGTATAATTAGCATCCAAGTATTCAGTAGATCATAGACTTCTAATTTGACTGTTTATCAGAAAGCTAATAAGATCTTCTGCACAAGTTAATTAATAGAGCATTTTTTTATTAAGTAGTTAATATGGCAAATTCTTCAAGCTGGATTTCTTCAATTTGAGAATCATAACAATAAACTTACCTATAGTAACAATAATCCCTCAAAAAAAAAACCACAAAGTACATCTTTGGTATTTCAAACTTATATGATGAGTATTCTTAACCAACCATAATTTGACATGTGAAGTGCATTCAAAACACCATCTAAAACAAAATATTCTTCATTAATGTGCTCCCATCTCTTATAGTCGATGATCGATATGAATTGAATCCTATTTATAAATAGAAGATGCTCCAGGCATGAAAAGCTTGAACACTCGAAACTCTCAATTTTTTGTTATATAAATATTAACTAAAGCAGCATTTAAGGAACCTTAGATACACTCCCAACATGAGTATTATAAAATATACTAAATTGACTCATTAAATTCGGAAGAATCTCTAGTTGGACCAAACACAAAAGCAAATCATATTCAAACCCCAAATGTGATAGATTTTACTAAAGCAAATCATATCCAAACACCAAAGGTGACAAGTCTCATCAAATGAACACGTAAGGTCGGGTCAACTTCATCATATCGAGTTGACGACCAACATGTGCTTTAACAAAATTAGAACAAGATTTGAAGATGTTTGTTAGCTAATAAAGATTTTGACAAGTCGTCGTAAGATCTGAGCTTGAATCGTAATTTCATCATTTACCCTTTGTAAAAAATAAAAGAAAAAAAAAACAAATTTGTCTGATGACTTGGACATAAATTTCAAAATAGTTGATAATCCACTCTACCAGGACACACTTACACATGCCCCTTCATTACGTGCAACAATCTCATCAACAACATGTGAAATCATGCCAAGGACAGACTTTGCCAAGCACCAGTATCATACCCCATCAGCAAGAGTCCTTTTAGAGGTGCTGATGTACAGAACTGCATCACAAGCACAAAATTGAAGGCATACTCATAGAAACAAAATGATTAAGGACTTGGTTTAGATAGAATCAGTAGGTTTACCATTATTTCCTCTGATGAAAGCATCGCCGTACTTGTTCTTTAGCTGACCATTAACATATTCTTCCGTTTGCTCCATTGCAATGTTCATGTATGGATCCAAACAAGCTAGAATACCTGGATAACAAACATTTTGGCCACCAAATAAGTGCTCACACACTATGCTAAACCCTAGACTTAAAATGCTTACCTAGAAAGCAACAAGATTATAATATATTCGAGGAAGTCGGACAAAGGAGACATATGTGATAACAATACAACTAAATAAAAGCAACCTAGTCGGCATCACAATTGACCAATGACATGACACTTCAACTATTTGATTAGAAACAAAATGCTCCTCCATACACCACAAACAAAGGATAACTTATCTGAAGAAGAACATTGCTCATGAAAAATGCTAATGAACTTGTGAAAAACTTAAATGCTGAACCAGAAAGCAACAAGACAATAATACATTAGAAGAAGTTGACCAAGAAGACATATGTGATAACGAGCAACCTAGTCGGTAGCACAATTGCTCCATGACACTTTGATCCTACTATTTTGTTAGAAACAAACAGCGTTTCATATACACCTCAAAGTAAGGGTAACTCATCCTAGGAAGAACATTGCTTATGAAAAATACTGATGAACTCAGTGAAAAGTTTGAAGAGCAAAAGTGCCAAAGTGTTGCCAGCAAGTGTTCTTTCCTTTTCCCCTTTTTACTGTAGATGATCAGATCCTTTAACACAATTCTGGGACTCCCTGTTAATTTACTTCTCATCATTAAACATCCATCATAAACATTTTCAGCAAATTGAGTTGTTAACAGATGTTAAAAGCCTCATGATGTAGACAGTGGTATTTACAGAGTCAAATATCATAAATATCCATATCACAATGAAGGGAAAGAGTTTGTGCTCTTATCCTTTTGATCTCCAGTAGAATTGACCTCCATCATTTTCCAGTGCAAGAAGTAATATTAGTGAAGAAAATGAATACAGAAAGAACGAGTATCATCAACTAGACATCAAAGCTAATATAAATAGATGCATGTTCCCTGTAAACAAGTAGTCATTTGCCACTATGTGCATACAGAGCAAACACAAGACAAATATCTCTCCTCTAGGAAACATGGATGTCTCAAATCTCTAGTGTAAAAGAATCTATTCAACAAAAGAATGTTCCATCACAACTGATAGACACAGCTTTTCATATCTCATGGTCCTATTACACATCCCTTCGTATCTTTTCTTATGTTCTCATACAAAAAGGTCCAAAAATTGCACCTTGTGTTATACGCATGGAGCCATCACCAGAAAAATTCAAACTTGATGTCAGCGGAAAGTGAATAAGAGTGTAATTGTTTCATATTCCAAAAGAATATCAACAGACCAGAGGATCAAACATCTTGTAGCGACTGTTTCCTCTTTTTCTTTAAATTACGATTCCAAACACAGTCATCGTCAGCGTCGACAACAGTAGGCATTTGGCAATTGTTTTGATCCAAATCAAGCACGAAAAGAGTCGAGCAATCGGGACTAACATAGAAACCCTAGAGTAGGAGAAGAAGGCCGACCTCTATAGTCGACTCCGGAGTTGAGCTTCACGACGACCGGCCGGCCTCGGATCGACTTCAGAAAGTTGGTCGGCATCTTCCCCGCGCCACTTCCTCCTCCACCGCTGCCACTGCCGCCACTGCCGCCGTTCATATTTCTCTCCTCGAGCTTCTTTTCGCTTTGAGGAACAAAGCTTCGAGGAATGAAACGGCGTTAGCAAAATAATTTGCCAATTTTGCATATTCATTCCCCCAACCTCACCGATTTTAGTATTTATTCCTCTAACGTGCATATCCTTATAAATATAAAAATAGATAGTTTTAGAACACTTGCCTCTCTC